AAAGAATATAATAAACTTTTAACTATTTTTTGTTAACTGAAACTATTTAGTGAGCCCATTACACAACTATATTTCAGGCTAATACTTATATGTAACCACAGCACTTTGTCATCACTGCAATTAGTCACCAAAACTCACCCTTTCTTCACTTCTCCGGTGCCGTCTGTAGAGTGGAAACACTACAAACCGAGCGAGGGGAGCACTTCCAACATGCCTAGTGAAAGCTTGCACTCACAATAAAATACACACGGGCGAGATGGAAATGCAGTTATACGTGAACGGGGGCTCCCTAACGTGCCTGCAAATAAAATCACTTTGTATAAATAGCCATGGGAGATGACTAGGCTAATAAATAAAAAAAAAAAAAAAAATCAGGAAAGAAAAAGGGGACAAATGTTTTTTCCCAGGTGTTCAGTCTGCTCGAGCTTGGAACAACTTCTGTAAACAAAGAGGAGGTGACGGGCACATTACCTGCATTCCCGTGTGTCCCAGTTACTCCTGCACCAGTTGCATTTTCCAGTTGATATCCAAGTGTATGTATATAGTTTGTCTTTGTATAGGAGTGAGTGTGGTGGCTGTCAATCATGTGCTCTTCCAGTATTGTAATTTAACAGATTATGGCTGTATGAAAACGATGTAAATAACTAGAAGAAAATTAAACTGGATCTCTATGTACTAGTTTTTGTACATACTGAAACTGCATGGTATTTAAATTATTGTTTGTCTCTGATGTATGCAGTTTCTTAAAAAAAATTCATTTAAAAAAAAAAAGCATTCCTGCGCTTGTGTATTTTATCACCCTCCGTCCCAGTGACTGATGGCCTACCTGAGGGCTGCAGTGGAGGACACCAGCCCTCCTGCTGCCAGCCAGCTCAGCACAGCAGTCACCACTGTGTGCTGTGGTGACACTGTGGTGACACCGTGCGTGCCCATGGGAGCAAAGCAGAGGAGCAAGGCTTACCTGAGGAGATGGATGGGATGGTGTTGGCTCCATGAGCTGGTTCAGCGAAGGTGAGTAAAGGAGGGTGACTGGTACCTCAGCTGCTGAAGTTGTACCCAACACCAGGACAATAAAGAACAAAGCCAAGTCTGCACTAGACACACACCCAAAACCCACCTCTCACCACAAAGTTGTCAGTACAGGGAACGCTTGGTGAAGTGCCTACTGCCAGAGCCAGCGTGCAGCATTTGCCAACTCTGCTTTCCTTTCCCTGTTCACAACTCTTTGTCCAATGGGATGCACACAGAGGTTTCCAAATTCTGCTCCTTTCCATTGCCAATATGGAGACACACCATGACCAAAAACGTGGTACTAGGGTTTTTTTGTTTGTTTCCATTTGTGTAAATTTTCACTGACCTTACAATCCCTGTTTCTGTCTGTCCAGCAAGTTTGTAGCTAAGCACTGAGGTCTGGATAAATAAATAAAGTAAAAACCAAACAATTAGTTTTGACTAAAGAGCCCCTTTGCCCACAACTAGCTATGGCTTCTATGACAGCATTATATAGTGGCACCTTTTTTTTCTTTTAGGTTTTAACTGAAGCATTTCATAAAACTGGTCTAAGGAAAGAGAGGTGTGTCTTTGGCAAAGTCCATGTAATTACTAGCAATCGAATTGCAATCTAATGCCATCTTTAGGCAGGAAACAAAGAGGAGGGCTGACAAAAAGAAAATCAATTCTCCATTAAACAAGCAGCCCCCGGTGACCAGCTCAGCACTAGCATTTGTGCTGTCTTTACCAATGGCTTCAAACCACTTCAGAAAAACCTTAGGACAGCAAACCCAGAGGACACCCAGCAGTCACTCTCTTAAAACATTCCCCAGTAATGGGACATAAGATACACCAATTTATGCTTTAACATCCATTTGATGAATTTTACATACAAGGATACATTAACCCTGAGAGGTAGAAGACCAACATACCTGTTTAGCAACCAGTTTAGAATGTAAAGCAAGATTCATACATAAGATCCAGGTGCACACATATGCTCAAAAGCTGCTCTTCAGCCCAAAATAATGGCTAGTAGGCATCTACATATTTTTTTTCAGGGGTGGGGGGGATGGAAGGAAGAGGGAAACCTGCTGAGGCTACTGAGCAAACCCTACAAAGGCACTGGAAGCCAGAGAGGAGTGTGGCAGAGCCCCCACTGAGCAGTGTGTAGGCAACACCACCCCCTGCCCACACCATCACGCATTGCCTACAAATTGTACAAAATAGCTCACCAAATTCTGCCCAGAGTGGCAGAATGAACGAAACCTTGGCTTTTTGGTAAATTTACAGCGTGTGGTCGGGAGCTCTGGCGTTCAGAAAGACATCACCTTCAATCAAAGCTGTCCCATGGAGTGACGGAAGTTGATCTCCACACAAACCTGCTCTGTATCAATCACTGCTACTTTATCAGCCTCTGCATTTCAGCCACTTTTGTCTCCATATTCGCCTGCTTTTCTTTCCATGCTCTCAGGCCCCCTACTACAGTTAAAAATCACTTAACGTCTTTCAAGCATCATACTCTGACATCTGCCATTACTTTTCTTATCTGACCTTTCCATCACATTTGGATGTCAGCTGGAAAAGAACGTGGGAGAGCACAGACGTGGCATTGCTCTAAATCTCTCTGGAGAGAAAGTACTGCTTGAGGGGAGAGCTGGACCAAATTAAGCTCATTTTTGTTTGTTTGCAAAGGCCATGAAGATATTTGGTGTGGGGGGGGGAGGCTTGAGGGGAAAGCTTTCACTCTCCACAGTGAATGCTTCAGTGTTGTTCCTATTGTCTCCAGGAAAAACAGAAAGGAAAAAAAACCCCAAACAACCAACAAACATACGCAACAGCTAGTTCTATATCAACAAACAAGCACACAGCAAGCAGTTACATACTTTGCCAGTCAAGGAGAAATAATGGAAAGAAAAGACAAAATATCTAATTTTCAAGCTTTTTGAGAAAAAAATGACCAACAGCTGACTTGTTACCGCACTCTTCCTGCAATAACATGGGGCTAACAAAAGAAAACTTACCCAGGGGTTTCAGGCTCAACTATGTGCGATTTCAAACCAATCCGTGGAAGGAACTAGTAGTCCCTAGTAGATAAATGACCACACTTGGACTGCCCACTGAAAAGTGCCCAGTTGGACACTACAAATATTACAGTGTTTAAATTCAAGAGGTCAAAGAGCAACTGTTGGCCACATGTGCCAAACTCCAGACTGATTACAGTTCCTGGAACCACAGACCAAGGCTTCCCAAGTGGTGGATTCTGGTCTAGGCTGGGACTTCCAAGGTGTCTTGCCTCAACGTCACCACGATCACCACATGCTGGGGACAGTGAAAGCTCACATTTTGCTGTTTTGCTCTCCTGGGAAATAGGCCTTTGAGCTAAAGCATTATGTACAACTGAGCAGACATCACCAAAAATTAACTGAGCGTTAAGTTAGCCAGTTTCATACTTGCAGTCTTCTGGGAATTCAGGAAGTTTTTCTGCATAAACTGTATCCCTCATAAACCCACAGTGAAAGCTTGGAAATGGATCCATTAAGATGCACACAAATGTCTCTTACCAGATCGGTGAAGGAAGCACGGTGCTAAACCACTATCTAGTCTCTAGAGAACTCCCCTCCTTCAGCACAGCCCAGAATAAATAATGCACTCTGTTAACAAAACATTCCTGTTCTTTCTTTCAATGTGAAACTGAAAAAGCTGCACGCAAACTTCAGCTGACATTAAAGTGGAACAGCATTTGAGGATGAATTCCACATACAATGAAACGTTTAAGTAAAATTCCTGTTGCTCATGTGGAAAAATGAAGATTTTCACTGAGGGTGACCAAGCACTGGCACAGGTTGCTCAGAGAGGTTGTGGAGTCTCCCTCCTTGGAGACATTCAAAAGCCGCATGGACATGGTCTTGGGCAACTGGCTGTAGGTGGCCCTGCTTGAACAAGGGGGCTGGTTGGACCAGATGATCTCCAGAAGTCCCTGCCAATCTCAACCAGCCTGTGATTCTGTGACAGTAGATCTGTGTCTCTCATCTGTGCAGCTCCAGGGCCTGCCTATTAATGGAGAAAGGCCTTTTTTAATTAAAAACTAAACAAAAAAACCCCCCATTTGGAGCCTTCAGTCAAGTAGTGACTGGAGGAACACTCACTGGCAAGACTGGAAGCAATTACACTAAACTGGCACGTCTAATCCTGATGCAGTGCATCTCTCTTC